TTACAGCCCAGGACAAATGACTCATGAGGACACAAAGGAGTCATCACTATTCTGGCCTTGATGGTCCTGGGTGCTTGGGGTGAGGGATGGCCTTGAAGGTCTGGATGCTGGAGCAAGGGTGGCCCCAAGGACCCTGGAGAGGTGAAGAGTAAAGAATTCATCACACTAAACCCCCCAACAGGGCTGGCCTGGCTCCCTTCCATCTGACTATATCATCTACAGGCGCTTGGGCGGGAGAGGGCATTACTTAGCCAGTCCCTCTGGCCGGTGTCTGTTTTTACAAAGTTCCTCTTCCTGCCTTGTTCACCCACCTTTGGGACTCCCCTTCCAACTCCTGGGAAGCCTGATCACTGCTCTGGCTGCACATGAGACACACATAGACACAGAGACACAGACACACAAAGACACATGGAAATGCACACACAGACACACACGGAGATGCACACACAGACAGAAATAGAGACACATACAGAGACATGCATACTCTGAGGCTGAGTATAGTGGTTCATGCCTGTAACCCAGAGCTTAGGGAGGCAGAGGCAGGATTTCTTGAGCCCAGAAATTGGAGACCAGCCTGGGCAACATAGCAAGACCTCATTCTTCACAAAAAGGGAAAAAACAAGCTTGAGATAGACACATATAGACACACACAGATATGGAGACATAGACACAGATACACACACATAGACACATACAGAGGCAGAGACACACGCACCCCTAATTAAAGCATAGGTAAAGCTCCCTGCACAGGATGTGGTGCCCAAAGCCCCCAGATCGGGTGGGCCTGAGACTCTGCCCCACATAGTTAGCAACTGGGGTTGGCATTCACTGGATGCGTCCTGCATGCAAGGCCCTCTCCTGAGGCCTCCTGTGCCTACTGCAAGCTGTGGGGACACCCCAGCCAAGGGCAAGGCCATCCTGGGACAGCACGGGTCATCAGTGGAAGAACACAGTGTCACTCACAATGTTCTCCTAAAACCCAAACCCAAATCAAAGCAGGCCTCTGCACATAACTACCTTTTGCAGGATTACAGGGGACAGAGGAACATGTTCCACACACTGGAAGGGTGCAATCCACAAATCCAGCCTGTGGGAACCTCTACAGGACAAACAACCCAGTTTCTTCAACAAATGCATTTCAGAGGAAAAAGAAAGGGGAAACTATAGATTAAAAGACGGATAAGAGACATCTATGAAATGCAATGTGTGGATTTTGGATCATAATGTCAGCATCATGATGTCAACTGTTTTTAAAAAAAAACAAATGGGCCAGGCACAGTGGCTGATGCCTGTAATCAGTCTGGGAGGCCGAGGCAGGTAGATCACGAGGTCAGGTGTTCGAGACCAGCCTGGCCAACATGGTGAAACCCTGTCTCTACTAAAAATAAAAAAATTTAGCCTGGCATGGTGATGCGTGCCTGTAATCCCAGCTACTCAGGAGATGGAGAATTGCTTGCACCAGGGAGGCGGAGGTTGTAGTGAGCCAAGATTGTGCCACTGTACTCCAGCCTGGGCAACAGAGCAAAACTCCATCTCAAAAAAAAAAAAGAAGAAAAAGGACACAGCTTGAGACTTACCCTCTGATGCCTCTGAGGTTCCCAGCAGTCCTCCAGAGAGGGCTACAAACTTCTGACCCCAGGCAGCTACACCTGGCCAGGCTCACCATTCCCTGTGTTACTCTCTGTGTGTGCAGAGGTCACTCATGGCATCTTTACAACAAAAGAGGCTGCTCTGGGGACCAAGGCAGTGGGCAGCTGGAAACTGAGTCTTGATGCCCAGATGGGGCCGTCAGAGATGGCTGGGGGCAGTCCCAGGGAACTTGGGTGGGTTTGACGCTTGAGGCCAATGACACCCTGTGGTTGGCTGTTGGAGCACCTGCCGAGAGGAACTAAGGACTCTCGAGAGCACAAAGCACCCCCTGGAAATGGGGGGTTCTTAGGAACTGGCGTTGGTCCCTTCCTCCATCCTGCCCCAGCTCACGCTCCCCACGCACCCCCCCCAGCCTTCTCGGGTTCCCAACCTCCCCCTGGGACATGCACCTGCCTTTCCTTGGGGGCTACCCCGACAAGCCCCCGGAGAACACTGCTGCACAGACCTTTCGGAAGTCAGGACGCTGCTTGCAGAGGAACTTGCAAAGGCAGGCTGTGAACTGACAGCTGGCAGCCAGATCCGCCCACACGTGTGTTTTGTTTGGCTTACGAAGTGTTTTCAAAATGTAAGCCAACAGTAGAAGGTCAGGTGACTTCATATAAAAACCCACATTTCCCACTTCTCCTGTAACTCTGGCTGACCTGACCACACCGGGGCTGTGTTCCCAAGGGCCACCGGAGGCTGGCCGGAAGCTGGCTATGGCTGCCCCCTGGAGCCAGGCATGTGTTCCATCCCAACCCCTGCCCGAACCCTGCAGCCCTCAGCCAGGGATCACTCTGACAACTGTTCCCCACTCCTGCAGTGCTTAGTGCCCAACGCCCCAGGGAGTCACTGCCACCCTGGAGGGGCCACCAATTCACTAGGTGACAGCCCAAAGTGGAGGGAAGCAGAAGAGGAAGAGGCAGGGGGGATACACAGATGGAAACTGAGCCCAAGACCCAAAAGTGAGCCCACGGGACCACAGAGAGGGATAGTAGGAGAGGGAGACGGTGGGCACACAGGCAAGGAGAGATGTGCTGGGCATCTTACATTGCTCCCCAGCCCCTAAGCAGCTGTCTCGGTTCAGGGAAAGGCATGTCAGCAAGTCCCTGTGGTCCCTCTTCTCCCTGCTCCCATACCATCTTTGGTTTCCCAGATACCACAGCCAGTGGGGTCTTGGTCCGTCAAAGCCCCTGGCTGCCCTCAGGCAGAAGACCACTGGCTCGGTGTGGCCCCAGCTCCCACCTCCAGGGTCCCTCTCGGCAGAACTGCTGCAGCTCCGTCTTCACACTGCCCCTTCTGTCTGGCTGGTGTCTCCCTCCTTCTGCCCGCTCCTTGGCCAGCACATCCTTGGCCGGTACATGAGAGGTGGATCATAAAAGCTGCCCCTCTGGACCTTCAAGTCGGGACCCAGGCCTGCTTTTAAGCAGGACCCCAGGGAATGGGGTTTGGGCCTGGGGTGCAGTCCTGGGGACTGCCAGGCACACAGCAGTTCAGAGCAGGAACTGGGGACAAGGCAGTGTATGGGTGACAATGACCTTTGGCCATCACCTTTTCCAACCTGGGCTTGGCCAAGGCTGGGAGGAATGACAGCCAGGTACTCAGACTCAGGTCAGGTCGTGGTGGAAAACCTGTCACCTCCTCCTGGGCAGGTGGAGGTCACCCCTTTCTGTCTCTTGTGATCTATATTTAGAGCCTGGGGAGGACATGAAAAGGGTGAGGCCTGGACACGCTCCTTGGTCATTTCCCGACACTGACGTCACCATTCCTAGCCTGCCTACGTCCTGGGGTAGCCCTCTGTGGGCGGGTGAGCACACACCTTGGCAGGAGGTGACGCAGCTGGGCTACTCGTGGGAACTCCCAGCACAGCGGTGGGCCTAGCTCAGCCCCACCTCCCCTGCCACTGGGTTCCTGGCAGCCTCTGGTGGCTTCTGCCTCCTCCTCCTGCCCCCAGGATGCAGGGGTCCCCATAGGCTGGAGGCTGAAGTCAGAGCTGGTCAGGAGGTGAGACATGAAGCACTGAGGCACTGAAATCTCTAGGAGGTGACACGGGGTGGCAGGTGTGGCATCATCATCATCCCAACCCTCTGCCCTCACAGGGCGCTGCTGTCCCAGCACAACAGGAGCAAGATGTGCCGACTCCAGAAGCGGTGGGAATGGGCCTGGACAGGGATGCAGAGGGCTCCGGACAGGCCTGGGGTTCGCCAGGGGGCCCAGCTGTCATCCCCTGGAAATGCGTACAGCCCCAGGATATTGACGGGGAGGCACCCAGAGGAGCAAACGTGATGAAAGCATCCATGGGCTGTAAACCGTGGGGGGCTCCGGCAACTGTCCTCCACCCCTGCAGGGCTTGGTGCCTGACACCCACGTGGGGCCACCAATTCAACATGTGACAGCCTGAAGTAGGGGACAGCAGAGGAGAGAGGAAGAGGCCAAGGGGGACACACAGATGGAAACTGAGCCCAAGACCCAAAAGTGAGCCCAAGGATGACAGCGGGAGAGGGAGGCTGCAGGCAGACGGGGGCGAGGGGAGAGAGTGGCAGCAGGGCTGCGGGGGCGCTGGGCACACCTGGCTGAGGAAGGGACCAAAGGCCCAACGGGTCCCCCAGTCTTAGCCTAGTACCTGTCCCCAAGCCCGGCAGCCCCAATCTAGGAGGCAGTGATGTCTAACCCACAACTGTGATGGGTGGGGCATATCACACCCTGAGAAGCCCCAGCATCCATTATCTCCCCTCCTGGAGGGTGGTCAGCTGCCAGCCTGGCCCCTGGACTCCTTGGAAACTCTGCACAAAGTGCCAGCTGGAAATGTCACAGCACAGGCGGCCCTGGGATGAGCCAGCCCCAAGGGGCCATTCTTTCCTATGGGTTTGGGGAACTCTTTTCAGACCTGGAGCACAGCTTCCGGTTCCAGCGCCTGCTCTGTGTCTTCCTAGCCTTCGTTTTACCTCTTGGAACCTCAGTTTCTCCATCAATAAATGGGGACAGTAACCATCATAACACCAGGCTCTCAGGCTTCTCAAGAGAGCAGACAAGGAAGCAGTGCACAAAAGTCCCTGGTAATCCACGAAGCGCCTTCCGGACGGGGTTGCCGTGACAGCCCACAGCCACCCTGGACCGACCCTTGGGGCTGGGGGCAGCTGGTGAGACCACAGTGGGCGCACACAGGCGCCAGCAGCAGAGCGGACCCCCAGTCTTCTCTCTCATACCCGAGATGGGAGATGAAGACTCCCCTGAAATTCCAGACAAACTCCTCCAACCAGTTCTGACAGGAAAGAGGGGAGTCCTAGGCAACCAACTCCCGCGCCTGGAGCCCCAGCGGTGACCCACCCAGCCTCTCCCTGGCAGAGGCACTGGTCGCCATGGAAACTCACCTCCGTGGTGGCCGGTGCTGGCAGAGGTGCCAGCCAAGGTGTCGGGCTTCGGAGAGCGGCACGGCGGGCCACAGCCCTCCGCCTGGCGGTCACCACAGAGACACAGGCTAAGAACACGGAGCCCTTCCTCCCCCTGGGCACAGCAGACCTGGCACAAACCTGGCCTGCTTCCCGGGCCATAGCAGGGCGAGCGCCAGGTGAGGAGTGGGCCCTTCGCGAGGCACTCTGCCAGTGTGCCCATCGCCTGCATGCCCTAGTGGAGTGAAGCACCCGAGTGCCTAGGCCTGGTGTCACCTGCGTGGCTGTCATACCTATTCCTCTGACAGGCAGGGCCAGGAATTCCCACTTGTGCCAGACCATGGGCCAACTGAGGATGAGTAGAGAGCCTGTCCCAAGCTGGCACAGCTTTCTCCCTTAATTCTCCAAGCCCCCACTCCCATTCCCTGTGTCGGGGGCCTGAAAACCACCACACAGAGCCAGAAAAGTGACAGATACAAGCAACTAGACCAAAACAGGGCTCGGTCAGCAGAGCCACCAGGTGGATGTGAGTCTAGCCAGAGGCAGTGGGAGGCAGGCAGGAGACCCCCACTCATTTGTTCTGGAAGGCTTCCCTGCCCCCAGACCTGAGCTCCTCCACCCCTGGCACCCAGGTACGAGATTTCCCCTTTTTTTTTCCTTTTTAGACAGAGTCTTGCTCCGTCCCAGGCTGGAGTGCAGTGGCACGATCTCAGCTCACTACAACCTCCACCTCCTGGTTCAAGTGATTCTCTCGTCTCAGCCTCCCGAATATCTGGGATTATAGGAAACTGCCACCAGGCTAAGCTAATTGTTTTGTATTTTCACTAGAGATGGGGTTTTACCATGTTGGCCAGGCTGGTCTTGAACTCTTGACCTCTGGTGATCTGTCTGCCTCGGTCTCCCAAAGTGCTGAGACTACAGGTGTGAGCCACTGTGCCCGGTCACAAGATTTCATTTTAAACTGGGTGCGGTGGCCAGTCGGGGGGTGCCAACCTGGGTTGCCAACTGCATTTCATTAAGTAGGGTGGTAAAAAATAATAATATCAACACCACCATTCTCACCATTTCAGAAAAGGCACCACCAGAGGTAACAAGAGAGGGCTGCCGTCGGCAGGAAGGACAGGCATGAAAAGAGTACATCTGGCTTTAAGAATAGCTCACTAGAGTAACTACTGGAGTTGCAAACAACAGCAACAATAATTCAACAGCAACACAGCAACATACAACAACTTACTGCCTTGTCCCCGTCCCCGTTCCCATTTTTCTCATTTTGCTGCAAACCAGACATTGAAAGCCACTGGACGCATCCAACACACCCATCTGACAAGTGGAAAGACTGAGGCTCAGAGAGAGCAGGGACTTGCCCAAGATCTCACAGGAAAACCCAAGACCTGTGTCTGTCCAGCTGCTCTGCAAAGCCTGCAGACGCTCCTTCCACCACACTCAGAGCCCCAAGCCCAAAGCCCAGAGATGCCAGGGTGAAGTCAGAGGCCAAGAGTCTCAGCTACTTCCTTACCTTCCTGGGACCCTGGCCCGGTAGATGCCCAGTCCCTGGCTGCAAGAGGAGGGCACAGGGCAGGGAGCAGGACAGCAGAGACAGGGAGGAGAGGGTGAAGGCCTGGGCTCCGGATTGTCCCCACAGGCACATCAGGCCCCGGGCCCAGCGTCCTGCCCAGACACTGCCCCAGCAGCACGTTGCTCCCTGCCCTGCTCCTCTGAGCATCTCACATCCTCTTCCGGTGGCTTTGTGGGCCTCAGCGGGGACCCAGCTGAGCAGGCAGTTCAGGGCCTGGGAGCTCTGCCACTCCAGGGTGAGGACTCTCAGGGGATGTGGGTGGGCATCTGGGGGTGAGGGCCAGGTTGGGCTTGGGGGGCATCATTGAAATGGAGCTGGAGGGTTTCAGGGGGGCCCTGGAGCAGCCACCTTCCTGCCTCCCTGTACTCACCCTGCAGCCAGAGCAAGTCACCTCCACTAAAATCCCTCCACCAGTTTTGTCCCACCCAGAAGAGAATCCCAAGTCCTCATCTGCCCACAGCCCCTCCTACTAACTCCAGCCACCAGCACCCTCTGCTGGGAACCACGTTCTTCCCCCTTGGTCTCAGGACTCAGCCGCCACTCAGAGCGCCCTTCTCCCACCCCTGCCTTAATACAGCAATACCATCTCTGCCCCAGCCATCCCGTTCCCCATCCTTTTCCATCTGGCACACTTCCTCCTCTGCCAGGCTCCAGGGCCCTGTCCCCTGGGACAGTCAGGCATCATCGATGGCTATTTGTACACAGTGACACTCAACCTTGACCTTTGAGAAACAGCAGAGCCAACCAGGCTATGAATTGGTCAGCCCAGGATTGAAATTCTGACCCCCAGGAACTCTGGAACTCTAGGCCAGTGATTTAGCGTCTCTGGGCCTCAGTTTGCTTCTCTGTAAAACAGGAACAAAGGCACTGGAGGATTCCACAAGAACTCGGCATGGGCTTGGCTCATGGTTGTGCTTGGCAGATGTGCAGAGATGATCTCCCACAGCCACTTGAGTAGTACAGGCCACAGGGTCACGTGCCTGCCCCAGTGCCAGGCACACAACAGACATTTGGTAAATGTTGGTGGATGCTGCTGCCCCTGTGCCAGGAGTGCCGCAGCCTAACTCCATCCCTGCGAGCAAGGTCCAGATGGCAGCCCGGGGTCGGCCCGGTGCTCAAAGTACGGCTTGTAACTGGATTCCAGCAGACAGCTCGAGAATGTTTGCTGATGCCGAAGCATACGCAGACGGGCACTGCAGGGCAGGCCTGGCCCCGGGAGAGGGGACCAGCGAAGAAGACACTGACTGGGCAGACGGGTACTGTAGGGCAGGCCTGGCCCTGGGAGAGGGGGCCGGTGAAAAGGGCACTGGGCAGACGGGCACTGCAGGGCAGGCCTCGCCCCGGGAGAGGGGGACCGGCAAAGAGGGCACTGTCCGGGTCCACACCCTTAAAGGGAGAGAAGCCCTGTGCAGACAGGCAGGATCTGAGTGAGGCAGGCGGCAGGGGCTGGTATCTGAGCAGGGATCGAGGCTGTCCCCGACCTCGGCCTCTCACCCCGGGGTTGCCAACTGCCTGGCCATGTGACTATGGGCATTGGGGGTGTGGTTTGGCTGCCACTCCAGGTTTAACAGGGAGCTCACCACATGGAATGGGGGGGCAGGGAGGGCCTTCCCTGAGCCTTGATTTCCTGGTATGCAAAATGTGACCTCTCAGGCCAGCCCTGCAGAAGGGCTCAGCAGGTGAGGTGTTTCCTACAGTGTGAGCTGTTTGGTTGGACGGCGGGATGGGGGTGGGGGGGCCTTCAAGAGGCCCTGGAAGGAAGCGCTCAACTTTCCTGGTGGGGGACTAGCAGGGAAGCAGGCTACCCTGCTAGGTGTATTTGTGAGCTGATGCCTTCGCTTGGACAAGCAGCTCCGGGGTACCAGGCCAGTGCAGGGCGTCGCATCTCACACACAAGCTTCCTATGCTATTCTCGAATAGTCTACCCCAGCCTAGCTTCCCAAGCCCATTACTCCCATGTCTCCCCTGCCCCCACCTCCAGCACAGGTCAGCCTGGCATCAGGCCCAGTCCTGGGGCTACTCCTTTCGGAGGCAGGCTGGGCAGGGCTACCCAGGGGAGTGGGCACTGAGCTTGCTGGGAAGGCCATCGAGGGACTGAGCACAGCAGGCCCTAGGAGAAGCTGCATCAGCTGCCGCTCAGAAATGCAGAAATGCGGGAGCCCCCAGGAGGTAGTGCCAGCAGAAAGGAAGCAGCAAGGCGATGTACCCCTCCTCCCACCCACGTGGTCCCTGGCCCTGCCTCTGCCACCAGCCTGGGGGAGAGCAGGGTCTTTGTTCCCTGCCGGCCAGCCTACCACGTGATGTGCCACATCACTGTCACTGCCTGGAACGAAGACTGCCAAGGAGAGCCCAGGCACTGGGGCCTGGGGGAGAGGACAATTAGGGGAGCTCCACCTGCAGCGCCCCCACCCCAAGTCTGGCTGCCTTGAGGGTCTGGCCCAGTGAGGGCCGTACAGGACATAAACATTTCCAGCTACTGTGAGGGAAGCTCACCACAGCACTGACCCCAGGCTTCTCCCAAGACACACGACCTGCCAGCGGTCCCACAGTGTTCTGCCCAGCACGCCAGGTGGCCCTGGGATAACATGCCTGGCCACACGCACAAGCCCAGGTTAGCAAAACCCAACCCACAGGCACCTTGCTAGGTGGGGGCAGGCCCCGGATGGGTTGAGGCCCATTGTTTACAAACACCGTGCAGCTGTCGCTAGGAGCTGTGACTCACAGCCAGAGCAATGACTCCTCGCAAAGCTGTTATATCGGCACCACATCCTGTCCAGGAAGCAGATAGCAGAGACTGAGGCCTGGCTTTTGCTCCTCTTTCCTGCTGCCAACTTGACTCAGGGCCCTGCTGACCGGACTCAGTGTCCAGCTGGGGCAACATTCCAGCTCCCCTCCCACTGGCTTCAGGGAACCTGAGGCCCTGTCAGGTGGCTCAACACACACTCAGGCCCGGCCGGCTCCGCTAGGTAGGGATGGTGCTGTGGCTGTGCACGGGACAGATGGAGTCTCTGGAGGGGCACCTATGCCTGGCATCCCCTCCCTCTTTGGCTCTGACTAGGAGACTCCCAAGGACCAGGGCACCACTAACGCCTTTCACTGTGCAGCCCAGAGGCAATTCTTGCCCAGGTTCAGAAGCCTGGGAGGCAGGATCAACTCCTGACACCCCTTCGTCCCCAGAGCCTAGTCTGCCACTGCCTTTAGCACCCCTCAGTGGGGACAAAGCACTTTTCCAGACAGCATCTGCCAGAAAGATGAAGCCACAGTCATAATCTCTGTTGTGAAACTGAGAAAACTGAGGCCCAGAGAGGGTGAACAACTTGCCTGAGGTCACACAGCATGTTAGTGCCGAGGCGAGGTGCAAGTCCAGCCCCCGAGGCTGCTTGCTTTCTACTCTGTTCCAGATTAAGGATTACAAGCAGATTTGTTCCTGGCAGCACAGATTTGAGGCTGCTAGGTCCCTGTCTCTGGGGTGGGTGGTCTGTCCCCTGCAGAAGGCCCAGGCTGGGGACTCTGACTTCCATTTCTGCTGATCACTGCTGCCCCCAATCTGGTGCCTATACCTGAGTCAACAGCCCCCTGACAATTTCTGCTACTCACTGCCATGCCGATGTGAGTATCATTTCATCATCATGACATGTGAGGCAGGGTTTTACAGGCGAGTTTCAGTACAGAGGCTCAGAGATGGCACAAACGTATCCAAAGCCACACAGCAGAGCAGAGCTTCCAATCCTGTCTGGCTTGAGACTACGCTCCCAGCCTCTCCTTCCTGCAAAATCCCAGCTTTTCATAACGAGTCAAAGGTGATTTTATAACCACAGTGCCCTTCTAAGGCCAGGGTGCAAGTATCTCAATGGCCACTGGTTCACAGGAGGGCCCCTGTGTGTGGTGGGGAGGCAGACCCTCTGAGTGACTTGAGGAAGGCAACGCACCCCAATGAGGAGGCCTTTTCCCCTGCTCCAGGCTGGGGAGACCCAGGGACTCCCCGGAGCAGCAGAGCCACGGGACGCACCTGCCACAGCATGTGGAAGGTGGGCCACCCCTGGAGCAGGGAGAGAAAGGCAAAGAAGGGCTGTGCTTATTTTGGCAGCTGGCACTTGGCGCCACCCCAGGCAGGACAGTAATTCAGCGACTGGCTGATTCACCCACCGCAGGACTCCCCTGCACTGGCTGCCTGCCCGCCGGCCCCTATTGCCAGCCCACTGAGTCACACAGGTTGCCAAGAAGCCG